TATAGTAAATAATTTCCGGTAGGAAGACTCCTGTGACCTTTTTTTCAGGAACAAATGAGCCAGAGTAAAGGAAACAAAGTGGGAGAAACTCAAGGTGCTTCTCTGATTGACAGTGCCACTACTTCACCCGTTACGGAACAAGTTTCAAACTCTGAAATGGTACAATAATTACAAACTGGGAATATGACTGCTTCTTATCACGTTTCTAATAATGTATAATAGCTTTTTTTTTATACAGAAAATTGATTGCTGTGAGTAATTAAGAGTAAAACGAGGTTGTAACAAACGGCATTTCTTGTCACAACTCACAACATAGTCAGCCATGAGAATTCTGCCTACCTTTTAACAATTTGCACGACATCTTCATCATTTAAGACATGCTCTTTTCCCACTCGCTGAGGATTGTGTTTGACGGAGGTACCCCACACCAAGGCACTATAAAGATCGGTGATATAGAAAGTCTCAGGCGTAAATTAAAACTTATTTGAGGCGCAAATGAAAAAAAAAAGTCATTGGAACAAAAGAGTTAGAAAATACTTCTTGAATTCCTTCTGGAGGGATTTGTGTATTTTCATGCACAGGTCATCCACTGTCCTTGCGTCTGAAGGTAACACAATGGGGGCGTTGTAGTCTGGTAGCTGTCCCTTTGGTTTCGTATACCTGTAGAAATGGATCTTGTAAGAGCCCTATCAAGCAGGCGAGCAGGAAACTACAACTGAGTACAGAAGTTAAAATTCACAGTCTGCATTCAAAATACTAAGAAACAACAGCGAGCTTTCAGTCAAACGTTCTCACGGAACTAGCTTTTTTGGCCTGAAAGTTTGGAACTGACTTCGATAACCAGGCAAAACAATTTGAAAATGACCACAATAAGTTAGTATGTTCTTATGTCATCAGCAGAAACGTCAAAATTATATTGTGAATACGTGATATAAGCGACTGACTAACACTCTTATAAGGCTTAGATACTCCCACATCTTTTCCAGTAAATCGTCAAAATTCCACTTATGGTGAGCCGAAATTGGGACACAGTGGGGAATCTTATAGATAATATCCAACTCCTGTAATAAACCCCTTCTATTAAATTTGAAATTTCTTGAATTTGAAATTTAAGTCCTAATTTCTTACTTTTTAAGTGGAGGAAAGAAGGCAAAAACCTGACATATTTTATCCTTGCTTTTTATGGGCTAAAGTGGCCTTAATGGCAAATTCAAATTGCTGCTATTTTTTAGCAAATTAAAGCTTGATAAAGTAGAAGAATTTTTTTTAATCAAATACTAATTAGAAAAATCACTACAAAATTTCCTTTCAGTTCAATTTTTTCAAGCAGCAACAACAGCGATAACAATATTGATATGATAATATGCATTAAAGTGGATAGGCATGAAGAGTTAAGAGTGTTAATGGCTGGGTGTTGAAAGTTAGGAGAAGAATCTCACTCGTTTTTACTAGTTACTGTAAATAATCAGCAATCTACCGTTACTCCGCTTAAATAGGCTAATTCAGCCACATTCTTTTTCACAGTAGAAAAAATAAAACTATAAAGCAAAAAGAAAAAAGAAATGGATGCCACTTTCTCTTCACCATATTTTCTTCCTCCCTTCTCGGAAAAAATAATAATGATGCACAGAAAAACTAACCTCAATAGAAATCTGGTCGATTTTGTTCAGCACGTATATGCACGGTATATAGATTCTAAAACGAGTGGATAAATTTACACTTACTAAACTGCTGTATTGCTATTACAATAAGAAATAAAATAGAGAAAAGCAAATAAAATATGAAGCAAAAGACTACAAGTGCAGAAGCGATAAAGCGGAGAACAAATTTTTCTTCAAAAGAAAGAAATTCATTTAATGCCTAATAATTGCTCAAACTCCAAATAAAAAAAAGAAAAAACAAAATGAGAAACCACTAACAGCGAATATAGTTGTTTTTCACAAAAATTTAAATACGATGAGGAAGAGAAAACTACGTTTTGGTTGGGCTCGTACGAGTAAAGTGTTTAAATAATTAGCAGCATTCATTAACTGAGGACTTCAGCTCATAGCGGCAATATCTGCGCAAACTACGAAAAAAATAACCTGTTTCCTTCAATTACATCAATCAAATCTTCCGCAGTGGCATCATATTTCAAAGTTATATCAGCATTATGGATACGGTATTCAGCCAATATTGTTTTTACCAAATCCACATCCAATTCCGATTGAGGTACCTGAGCAATGGTCATAGAAGCATTTTTTACTGAAAGCCATTTCAACTTAAAAGAAACGAAAAACAGAAAAAGAAAAAACTGGTGATCAATATATCCGGCTTTTTTTCTTTTTGCCTTGTTCCATTCCAATTTTTCTTTTATAAATAAGTAATAATTCGGAAAGGAAAAAACCCCTCATTTTCTCCCTTTTTCCTTCAATTACTAATGAGTTACTTCCGTTTCCAGCGCTATTATTATTATCATTAGTATATTATATTATATAATATTACATTATATTATATTATTTTATTTTACTTTATTCTATTCTATTATATTATATTATGTTATTATTACCATCATTACTGAAATTACTATCAACATCACCATCGTCGTCTCAACCATCAAAAATTTTTCGATACATTTGAAAGGTTAAAAAAGAGAGAAAAATTTTCTGCTTCCTTTTTTTAACGCAAATGACATGATGGGCTATTTAATTTAGCTGCACTTTCTAGTTTTTTTCGTTTTTTCCCGGATGATGAACCACACACACACAAACACATAAATACATCAATATACACAACAACTTTTCCCATAAACATCCATACGTACATAGATATATGTA